ATGAAGGCAGGCAGTGGGCAGGCAGGGTAGCATTGGGGCCTGGGGCAGCTAGGCACAGGGAGCACGAGTTGCAGTGCAGGGACATAGGCAAAGGCAGCGATTAACTGGGGAGGCAGCTGCCTATTCAGCCAGGCTTTTATCTGCTTCTGATTGGAGAAATAATTAAGGTTTATGTGGGGTAGTATTGACTGTGAGGTGTTGAGCAGATGTCACCTGCAAGAATCAGTTCCCCTTCCCATCCCAGCTGCTCCAGTAACACTACCTTAGGATCCTTTCCCTGTCTCTGACTCTCAAGTCCATTTCTGCATCTCCTATTCCAGTAGCAGCACTGGCCCAGCTCTCATAATGCCTGGACCTTATGCCCAGGGCAGTAAAAGTTCTAAAAGCCTTGAGTTACGTCTCAGTGAGGCTGTAAGTCAAGAAAGTCTGAAAATGGAGGTATGAAGCTGGGGGTGTAAAAGAGCCGGAAAACTCAGAGTGGGGAGACTGGGGTGACTGCTAGTGATTCTGAGATGGAAAGAAGCAACTAGAAGGAGTAGATAGTAAGTTGAGAGGCTGTAAGATTGGGATATGAGGGCAAAAAAGGGTAAGTATGCAAGTAAGAAGGGCCTGGGACAGGATCTTTTGAAAATACAGTAGCCATAATTTCAGATCTACAAGCTGCTGAAGCACTAGGGCTATTTCCATCACCTGCAAGTGAAGCAATGCAAAACTTAGAATCTTATTCTTGAAAACAGCTTATATACAGCAACCACTTCTAAAAAGATAATCAAACCAGTACTAATACTAGACTTTCGGCTTTACTAATCAATTTTCTTCAAGGGTTAGTATCTATCTGTCAGACTTTTGATAAAAACTTGTTACGATAACAATCTTCAAGTCTATTAAATAAAAGCTTGGTCATGCCATTGCAATTAAAAAAATATGAACATAAAATCTTGTGAAGATGATCGTGACCAAAAAAACCCCAACTGTACAGCATTTTCAATGTTCATTCAAATGAGGCACACGCCCACGTGGCAATGTGAACTTGAGCAGGACGTTTGGTTTGCAGACCTCACCATTGGCAAAAGAGGTACATCTCAGGATCATGGCCTTTTTGCTAGCAAGGCTTAGGTTCATAGGTGTAATGTCTGAAGGATCATAGGAAAGTAAGAGTTCGGCCCAGTGAAATCTCAGGGAAGCTGAAAATTATTTACTTGTACAAATCTGGCTAACCCATATTTTGAGCTGAGATCTGCAGATAGAGCATCCACCAAACTAAGCTTCTTAAAAATATGAAAAGACAAAAGGCTTATTAAAAAAAAATCTTTCTGAAAGCAGTCTCTTGGGCAAGCTTCCACCTTTCTCACTCAAACCACACAAATCTCAAGAACAATCCTACCATTTTTGGTAGGATTTTGGTATTGCCCAATAAATGCTGCCTTTAATAACATCTTGGATGGAGACAAAATACTCTCAGGTCTCTCTAGACAATTCCTACTAGAATGTTGCTTTTGGCAAACGTGTAAAATCGCCAGACAACAGAGCTTTCTAACCAAAGAATGTAAGCAAATCATATCCTGAATGAAAATATTTGGTTTAATATGAGTGGTTGAAATTGTTTTTATCCAGTGAAATGTTTATACATAATGACGTGATACTTGCAACCACCTTCTCCTGTTTGAAAACCCCATTTATTTTTTACAGTAGTTCTAAAATGAAATGAAAAAACCCACTCTCATAAACAAATACCAATCCAGGCTACTTTTAAGCTGTGACTTTGTCTTTAAACAAAAGCACTTTCTTGTCTGGGGATGCCACAGGAAGCAGTGGAAATTCAAGAGCAGACTCCAACTCTTCCCCATTGCTGCCTTGTGCATCTTGGTACAAAGCAAAATTAGATTCTGATCCTGCATCAGTCACTTGAGAATGGCCAGAACCTCAGAAATTAATGAAACCTTGCTGCATTCAACTTTTCTGACTAGCTGTATTCAAAATAATGCCATTAACACTAGTGCTTTGAAACCGTGTGCTTTATCTTCTTTCCTTTCAATGCAATAAGAAGCTCAGATAAATTGAGATTTGATATGACATCTAAGTACTTTATTTCTTATAATGACTTAAAGAGAAGCTCTGTATGGTATGTTGAAACCACCAAGCTATCTAGAGGAAGGAAATTAAGACTGCTTCAGCTGTGGCAACCTCTTTGGTTCTACTTTGTAGGATAGGTGGAAACCTCTGGTCATTAATTTTTAAAAGGTTGGTGTTTTTTAAAACTCATATAAATATTAGAGGTAAGCACCATTATCACTTGTGGAAATAAAAGCTATGCACTGTTATAATAATGAAAATATTTTAAAACAAATATAAAAGATTATGTTCTCCAAATGAACCTTCTGGCTGTAATTCTTTGCACATTGCATAAACTGCCATCAAAAGATTCATGTGCTAATCATCTACAGGAAACAAAACACTAATGAAATGTCAAGTGATGAATTTGCATATAATATATTAAATTACTTAAGAAATGCAAATATGCTGCTGCCTAGCAAAATATTTGTAGACCTTAGATTTGATTTATCATATCTTGAAGCTTAATGTGCTGCATTACTGTGAGGGCTGGTAAATAACAGTACCAAAATAGGAATATTAATCTCATCTTTCATTAAATGGTTATGGCAAATTATAAAGACTAAAGAAGTTGCATGTACACAAATTGTCATTACAGGAGCTACTTACAGTGCTGGAAAGGACATGAATAGTATTAGGATGATAAAACACAGAAATCTCCTTGTATGCTTGAGGCTCATTAAGAATTGTACTGAAAATAAAGCATTTAATCTCAGCATCAGGAATAAGGTTTTTGTCTTTAAGGTACAATGCTTTGTGGAGAAAGTGTGTCATTAGCATTCTGGGCAGCCCAGCATTGTCTTAGGCTAAGTATTATAACAGTGTGCCCTATTCAGATGTGAGACCCAGCTCAAAGCGGTTCCAGTGGCTGGATGTCCTCCAGCACCTCTCAGAGCTCACGCTTTCCCTGGCGTTCTCAGACAAGTTGTTGAAATGAAAGTTAATGCCACGGATGACAACCTCGCAAGCTGCCAGAATCCCAGACAAAATTTCCTCAGCTTCACCAGGGTGCGAGGGGGCAGGCTAGAGGTGCCCTTGGGTTTCTGATCTGGGATTCACCCCCAGGGCCTGGGTCACTTTATCCAGCTCACCAACTGTAGGTACTGGCAAAACAGGGTGGGCGACTTAAGCAGCTAACTGTAAATATTCACTTCCTTTGTGGGCCCGGGATTAATACTGCAGACGGCAGCAGGGCCGGATGCCAAGTGCAGCAATTAAACCAACCTCCCGGAGTGAAGCCAGAGCCACTGAAAATGTGTCTCAGTCACACAAGTGAGCGCTGATGGGGCAACTCAGTTGTTTCCTGTTCTGCCTCCTGTACCTCTTCAAACACCCGCACTTGCACGTGATATTCCCTTCAGAGCTCTTACTAGGGAATAAGAAATTCATGCTGCATAATGAAAGGTCTGACTACCCCTTATCATGGAAAATATTGCTATTTAGTATTTCAAACATTTAGTGAATTTAGAGGCTTGCTTTTTTTTTTCTTTCATTCCCCTTCAGGTTTTTCCAGAGCAAGTATCATAACTGTTGTGTGCTTAGACTTACTCAAATACATCAGTTTATTTATGATGCTCTTTAATCTGTTCCTTATTTTATGGATTAGAAAAAGAACTGTTCTGTGAATCAAAGACTGTGGATGTCATGGTTGGCATGGCAAGAAACTGCTTAATCTACCCTATGAATGCTATCCATATAAACTTGTTTGCTGGCTTCTCTGAGAAAGTGGAATTGCCTTGTTCTGCTCTTTCAGGAACCAAGGAAGTGGTGGTTGATGTAGATGACAATGGAGTAATTTCCTTGAACTTTGAATGTGATCAGATGTCTCCAGACTCTAAGTTTATTTGGTCCAAGAACTATGAACCAATCGAGGATGACTCTCGACTGAACATTGATACCAAAGGCGGAAAGTAAGAACCCTTGGGGATAGCAATAGTCTCGTGTTTGAGAGATCTAGGCTGGTCACAGAAATCCATTCTTTCTGATGTATGACCTCAGTAAATGTTATATCTGCCTCTGTTACTGGAAGGCTACTTTATGAGTGTGCTGTTCTCCTGGAAGACTAATTGGAAATTGTACCTTGCACAGAATGAGTCAAGCCTTTTGTTTAGGCAATTTAGTTATGCTTAGGCATAGGGAGAAAAATCTCTGCTCTGTCATCTTATGAAGTGTCAATCAAGGCAAATTATTATTATTCTTCCTATTGCTATTATTTTAAATCTCCAAAGGATAAAATTACCTGGCTGCTTGCAAAATGCTTTTAACATGTAACACTGTTGCAATCTTTGGAGATGCTGGAGTAAGCAGGACTCTCTTCTGATGGTGTCACCGCAGCCTTTGGTAACTTCTGTAATGCTTCACAGGCCCACTCTGTTTCTTCAGGCTTTTAACACAGAGGAAGAAATCTAAAATGCAGTGGTGGTTCAGCCTACTTACCAGTTGTAGAAACCATACAGAAAGAAACAGTGACTCCCCGCACTCTTGGTATTGCATATGAAAATTGAACTATCTCCAGTGCTTTTAGCACTATCTGAGAGCTGTGCCAACTCCATTTGTACCACAAATGGTAGCACCTATGCTGTCCAGAGCCCTGTATTTGCCTGTTCAGTCAGAGCAAAAGCTAATACAAGACTATTTTTATCTGATGTCAGAGACATAAAGGAGGGGTTTGGTTCAGACTGATCTGGTCTTCTTAACAAAATTCTTTTTTAATTTATTTTTTTCCTAAAGGTCAAAAGCTACCTTTAAGGATCTTGGAGAAGATGATTTGGGAATTTACTCCTGTATTGTTACAGACACTGATGGAGTTTCATCAAGCTACACGATCGATGAGGAAGGTAGACACAATGTCTATTAAGCATGCCTGTTTTGATTTCACAACTGTTTTTTCCTGCTGCTGTGTCTCTCAAATCCATAAGGCATGCACACCTTATATGATTTCTTTTATGTCTTTTGCAGAAATGAAACGCCTGCTTGCTCTGAGCCACGAACGCAAATTCCCAAGTAAGTGAATCAAATATATCTGTAGGGGAGATTTTTGCATTCAGTGAGGCATCACAAAGCTCCTGCTAGAATTAGGTAGGGAAGTTGCTACAGTATTTTCAAGTGAAAGTGGGTTTGAACTGAAAATCTAAGATTCCTTTTTTCTCTCTCTCTTTCTTTCAGTACATTTGTGTATTACTGACATTCTTCCTGCTCTGTTGCAGGCTACTGGTCTAGGCATATAATAAGTCTATACATTAGAGGGGAAATAAGCATTCCATTGGCTTTGTTTTTCTTCTGCAGAACAGTCTTTTATACTTACCCAGCATAGCTAACCTGATTTGAAATCCAGAATTTGAAAAATTCTGTAACTTTACTCCAACTGAAGTTAACATAGATTTAAGGTTAACAAAGCAGGCCACTGCAGTAAATCCAGCTGTAATGACCTCTATATACAGGATTTTCCATCTGAAATTCATTCCCTCCCTCTTTCCTGTAATACTTGGCAATATGAACATCCTTCCTGCTGCTTGGGATGGTATTTTTGCCAACTCCACAGAACTCCCATACCTTTGTAGTATCCTGGTAGTACCACAACTTGCTTATTTTCATTGGAATGTAAGTTCAATAATTGAAAAAAATAATACATTGGATTGTATAATGAATCCTATTACAGATGACGAGATGAGACCTAGATCTTGTCTCATCTTCTCTCACTGCATTCTCTTCTTCATTCCAGGCACTAAAACTCTTGCCTATGTTTTAACATCTTCAGCTTTGTGCATGCGCTGCTGGTATCTCTGCTAACTCAGTCCATATTGCACCTCTCATCCCAGTCAAAGCTTGGCTGCAGAAATAGCCTGCTTTTTTGTCCCCATAATCTCTCTTTCTCATTTCCTTTTGTGTATTTTCTATATCAGCTTTACTCTTCTCAACATACTGTACCATCTTTTGACAGCTTAACAACAACCCAAGCGTCCTCTTGTTTACTCCTGCTCCTCCCAGTTCTTCCCTCCTAATTATAACTTCACATTGAAAGTTAATCATCACAAAACCCTAGTGCTGTTGCACACCCTTACTTGCCCCTACCCTTCTCTTCTGAGTGCTCTTCCACACTCTGTGTTCATAACTAATGTCACAAACTAAGCTCCTCAGGACACAGATCGAGTCTTCTTTTTTGCATTGTATTAGATAATGGTACACCTCAGTTGTGCATGAGCTTCCAGGAAGCACAGGCAAAAAGGGAGATCACTGCAGAACATATCCTAATGTTTCAAGGAGGAAAATGCCTTACTTACTTTGGCTACTAGAGGCCCTTTGGACACTAAAAAAAAAAATAAATACAAATAGGGGTTGAGAGGCATCTGGTTATTCCTATGAGGCTAGAAAAATAATAATAATCAATATGAAACTTTAGTCATATGTCTGGGTAATCTGTTTGAGGATTACCCAAATTCTCTAAAACAAATTATTGTTCTATTCTGTTCTATTCTATTCTAGTTGCTAGGCATTTCTGTTTCAAGATAAACTCTTACATGTTGCTTTGTATGTACTTCAGGACTGCATTTAATTGTAACTTCTTCTCAGAAATATCTGCAGCCAGTACCTCCAAAGGAAAATGAGTTCCTTGAATAATGCAGCTTTACAGAACACAACTGTTTATGAGCACAATAGTGTATTGGTGCTAGGTAGAAATAAATTGTTCCATGTCTTCAATTTAGCAACTGCCCAAGGACTCCCTGTCAAGTGCTCATGGTAATTTGTGATGCTATACAAATAGGACGTAAAACCTTGTAAGCATGACAGCTGCAAAATCACAGAATCACAGAATGGTAGGGGTTGGAAGCAGCTGTGAAGAGGTCACTGGAAAGAGTCTGGTCCCATCCTCTTGACACCTGCCCTTTAGGTATTTATAAGCATTAATAAGATCCCTTCTCAGTCTTCTCCAGGCTAAACAGGCCCATGTCTCCCAGCCTTTCCTCATAAGAGAGATGCTTCAGTTCCCTGATCATCTTTGCAAATGCCTAAGTAGCTGTCAGTTGGTGCTTATTTTAAAATAAGACTTGCTTGTGAAGGACTGTAAGGCAGATTCATTCAGTTCCTTTGGGCTGAGGAGTGAACAGCCTTTTCCCCAAAATGAATCCTTTTTCCTCTTTTCAGCCCTTTATTTAACAGCTTCTGAGATACTTTCCTCTCTTCTGTGTTAGACTAAGATATTCATGGTTAATTACATGCAAATCAAGCAGGGGTTTAAAATTGCCGTAGAGCTGACAGTGAGACAAAAGCAGTGCAGCCTGATGTCTGTTCACACCCTCTCCTCTCCCTCTTGCTTCTGCTGGTACCTGCAGCATTTCAGTGGCGTTGTTTTGAGAAATTATGCAAGACCTGAGATTCCTTTTGTTTCTTAAAAGCAAACTGCTGAGCAGGGAAGCTTCACATGGTCCTTTTACACTGCTGGGGCACGGTCCTATGAAGTTGTCCTTTGCCCTGCTCCCTTGTGGTAATGCTGGCCCTCCAGGCTCCTTTATAACTATTCTCCTCTTTATGGTTAAGCTTGTGTCCTTTTCATAATTCTTTTTTTTTTTCCGTGACTGTTGCCACACCTCCCAGAAGCCTTATTTTCACCAAAGACAGGTCCTGTGCCACTCAGGCACCAAAAGCATACACATGAGTTTGGAAGGGCATAATTGTAGGGAAGGGGTGAGCATGGGAAAAGAAGATGCAGCCTCACCCTCTGAATTTATCTGGCAGTGGGATGACATTTCTGCTCCAGATGGCACCTCAGTTGTTTAGGCACAAACAGAACACTGAGAGAAACTAGACACTACCTCAGTCCCGATCCTCTCCTACTGTAGCTCGGCCTTTACATGAAGCTGAAGAGAATGGAATATAGATATAGATATAGATATAAGTATAAGTATAAGTATAAGTGTAAATATAAATATAAATATAAATATAA